AAAAAAAAAAAAAAAATCAACAAAAGTCCTGCCTGCCATCCATACAGTTTGTAGCCCATCTTTGAATAGTGTATTATCAAATCTCAGCCCTAGTAGACTCTAAACAGTTTGCCTAACTAAATTTATATGTGTGAATAAAATGTGGTATTATTTTATTGGTTTTAATATGTAGACATAAAAGGAAACAAAGTGAAAAAATACTTGATAATACTAATTTTGAATTTTTAAGGCTTTTTCTTCAAAATTTTTTAAAGTTTAAAATAAAATAATAGGAGCTAAATTCTACTTTGTTGGGATAGAAAAAGCCAATTGTGAACTTTGGGGTAAGTGAAAAATCCATTCTACAATCCTGAAACTTGCTGAGCCTTTTTTTTTTTTTTTGACCAAGTTTTCACCAAGACTTTTTACGAGGAGTAAAGAAAAGAAAGATTACTAAATTAATTCTTTCTTGAAAAATCTATTCCCTCCCGTGAAACATAGTAAAATAGTCAAAAGGTGGGTACTACGGGAGAAAGGACAAGAAGCATCAAGTAAGAAAATCCATGTTAGCTCTTCAGTCCCCAGGTAGCTGGGCTTTGACAAGCGCGCTGAGTTATCAATATTCATGCATGACAAGCTGAAACCCAGGAAGCTGAAATACGTTCCTTCAGTAATGCATTTACGGGTTATGAAAAAGATTGGAAGAGACTGAAAGCTGGAAAAGCCATTGCTTTTCTAAAGTATCCAAATGATTCTTTCTATAGTGCCCTACTTTTGTAAGCTCTGCCTTTAGCCTTAGGACTATTTAGTTCAATTTTTTGTTTTGTCGTTATGATTTGGAAACACGATTAGAGCTTATAGTGAAAGATGAGTTAGCTTAGGGAATTTGTGCTTTGGTTTTAGGGAAGAAAATATAATGTTCAATCCAGATAGGATATCTGTTTTATATACTTTATATTAGGTAGACATAAATAGAATTAAAAAAAGAAGCAAAAGGAGAGGTAGGGAGGGAGAGAGACAGAGGGAAAGAGGAAAGTAGGGAGGAAAAAAGGAAGAGAAGAAGAAGAAGAAGAGGAAGAAGAAAGAGAGAGAGAGAAAGAAAGAAAGAAAGAAAGAAAGAAAGAAAGAAAGAAAGAAAGAAAGAAAGAAAGAAAGAAAGAAAAGAAAGAAAGAAAAGAAAGAAAAAGTTGGCAGAGAAAGAGACTGGAATGGAATAAACACATCAGTAACTGCAGATAATGAATCAGTAATAATAATCTCTGTATTCTGAGACTGAATGTAGAAATAATGAATCCAGGTACTTTGTAAACCAGAGAAAAAGGAAACCTTTTACACCTATATTCTGTGATAATAAAATGAGGAACCAAAGCAAGAGTAGCAGAGATAGTCATATATAAATGTATGGTTCATGAGGTGCCAACAGGCCTCACATTTTTGTTATTTCATAACTTTTGGGCATACTCCTGGGAGAGTTTTTCAGAGAACTTATCTTAAAAGTATCTAGAGAAATTCAGAAATTAATTTTAGTCCATTTTTTGTGTCTATAACACGATATCACAGACTGGGTAATTTATAATGAACAGAAATGTATTGGCTCAGGGTTCTGGAGACCGGGAAGTCCAAGATTGAGGGGTGGGCATGTGGTGATGGCCTTTTCGCTGCATCATCCCATGGTGGAAGGGCAAGGAGAGGGCTAGAGAGAGAGCAAGAGGGGGCCAAGCTTGTTCATTTATAAGAAACCCACTCCTGAGATAATGACATCAATCCATGCATGAGGGCAGTGACCCCATGACCAAAACACCTCCTCCTACCTCCCAGCATTGCTGCATCGGCAATCAGGTTCTGACACATGAACTTCGGGGGATATATTCAGACCGTAGCATGAATCTAATAGAGTTACAATTCCAGTGGTTATTTTTCAGTGTAAGAAATAATTAATAGAAAAACGTTTTATGTCTTGTTTCTTCCTTTTCTTCTAGGTCTATAAAAAGTAGTTGCATGTAGAGAAGCCGGATAAGAAAGGCTTTTGTATATGCTTAATTGCGCAAATGTCAAAGCGTATGTTGTACAACTCCACTACCTGCTATTTCGGACCTAGAACTTCCCAACTGTATCAAATGTTAAATTTTAAGTTTCACTTAAAAATACACTTATTGAAAACATATCCTTTTGATTCACCCATGCATTTTATTCAATATTCAATAAATAGTAAAGGCCTGTGATCTCCTGATATTCTACTGAGCATAGGATATACATCTATGAACAAACATACAGGATTCTGGAATGCTGGGTATTATATTTAATGAGAGAAACAGAGTATAAACTAGAACATACAAAATAATATCATCATTTTCAGTGGAAAATGCACTATGAAAAATTAAATAGATGTTATGAGAGAGAAAAAAAAGAGCTTTTTAATTTATTCAAGAAAACAGGGAAGAGCTTACCTTAAAAAAAAATGTGTTATATTCCAAGGCGAGGATGGACTGTGACCAAAAATGGATATGCAATACAAATACCTCAAATATTGTTCTGAATATCTTAATGAATTATTTTTGTTGGTTGTTTAAACAGATTAATACCTCTATTTTACTAGTACTCTGCACATACAAATTATTTAAATAGCAGTGATATGATAAATCTAAAGGATTGAATAAAACATATATGTTTTGTAGGAAATTCCAAATGTATTAAATATGAACACTACAAAGGGATTAAAGTACCAAAAGTAGTAGATACAATTTTTGAATGCCTACTGTGAAACACTGTGCAATATTCTAAATATGTGCATATAGTTTGAGCCTAATTTATTTCTCACAAAAGCCCCACATGGAAGATACTACTATTCCCATTTTTTTAGTAGGAGAACTGCATGTTACTGAGACTGCGCAACTTTTTCCATGATCATACAGCTAGTACGAAAAAAAGCAACACTATAAAAACCAGGGATTATCTGATTACAAGGCCACCATTTTTCCTTCTTTCTTTTACTGAGATTTTCAACATAGCAAAAGAGTTTGAATAATGTGGGAAAATTGGAAAAGTGAGATTTGAAATTGGAATCATGATTAGCTTGATAAAAAATGTTAATGACTCAAATCAAACATATTAAACTAACACACTTAACCCTTATTAAAAGAGCTTGTTGGTTTTAATGAGATATTTTCAACTATTTTCTTGAGCAGCCTGTAAGAATACAATCCAACATGTTTCAATATTACTTTCCCTCTTAGTGGGTACTTGTTCTTTCAATGCTGGTAAAAACCCTAAGATCTAAATACATTGATTGACAATTTAGAGTTGTTTACTCTTCTTTCATTTTTATTATACTTTCTATTCAGGCTTAATGCAACACTAGTAGTGCTCTATGAATTTAAAACTAAACGAATGAAGAATCATTTGTATGCTCTAATTCTATTCTAGATATTTTATGATAAAATCTCTTTTATTTCCTGTTGTCGGTTATCATTTCAAAACAATAACTGATCTATTTACATTCATAATCAGTTTCCCTGTACACTAACAAGATGGCATGCAATCTAATTATGGGCTATATGGATTTTTAATTTTATTTAAATTCCTGACTGGAGATGACCTGAAGAAACGATAGTGATGGTTTCAGGGCTAAGGTTTACTCTACTGCAATGCACAAAAAAACCATATTTGTATTTATGCAAATTCATCTTGTTTTGTATTTCCAGAACCTCGACGTACTGGCTCACCCGCATCCAGTCTTTCCTCTACTGCAACGAGAACGGCCTCCTGGGCAGCTTTTCCGAAGAGACGCACTCGTGCACGTGTCCGAACGACCAGGTGGTCTGCACCGCGTCCCTGCCCTGCACGGTGGGCGACGCCTCCGCCTGCCTGACCTGCGCGCCCGACAACCGCACCCGCTGCGGCACCTGCAACACCGGCTACATGCTGAGTCAGGGGCTCTGTAAGCCCGAAGTCGCCGAGTCCACCGATCACTACATCGGCTTCGAGACCGACCTGCAGGATCTCGAGATGAAATACCTGCTGCAGAAAACGGACAGACGAATAGAAGTCCACGCCATCTTCATCAGCAATGACATGCGCCTCAACAGCTGGTTTGACCCCTCCTGGCGGAAGCGGATGCTTCTCACCTTGAAGAGTAACAAGTACAAGTCAAGCCTAGTCCACATGCTCCTGGGTCTCTCCTTACAGATTTGCTTAACTAAAAACAGCACGTTGGAGCCCGTGTTGGCTGTTTACGTCAATCCCTTCGGGGGCAGCCACTCGGAGAGCTGGTTTATGCCCGTGAATGAAAACAGCTTTCCGGACTGGGAGCGGACTAAGCTGGACCTCCCGCTGCAGTGTTTCAACTGGACGCTGACTCTGGGGAACAAGTGGAAGACATTCTTTGAGACCGTGCACATCTACCTGAGGAGTCGCATCAGGTCCAATGGGCCCAACGGCAACGAGAGCATTTACTACGAACCTCTGGAGTTTATCGATCCTTCCCGGAACCTGGGCTACATGAAAATCAATACCATTCAAGTGTTCGGCTACAGCATGCACTTCGACCCTGAAGCAATTCGGGACCTGATTTTGCAGCTGGACTACCCCTATACTCAGGGATCCCAGGACTCAGCACTTTTGCAACTGCTAGAGATAAGAGACCGTGTAAATAAGCTCTCACCACCTGGTCAGCGTCGTCTAGATCTTTTCTCTTGCTTGCTTCGTCATAGACTCAAGCTGTCTACTAGTGAAGTGGTGAGAATCCAATCTGCCCTGCAGGCGTTTAATGCCAAATTGCCAAACACGATGGATTATGACACGACCAAATTATGTAGTTAACCGTAAATGTCAAGCACAACCCAAAATCTTGAAGGAGTTTTTACAGTGCTTTTGTGGAACAGTTTATGTTTGGAAGAGTGAATTTAAATTGTCTTTTCAATATCTGTCTTATATCAGTCAATAACATTGGATGGCAATTTACACACATGAACTTGCTGACAATGAATATATTATACTGCAGTTTTGGTTTATGAATGAAATAAATACTGACACCAGTCTAGAAGACATTCTACTTTTTACAATAAATTTCATTTGTAATTTTATATGTTCCGTGGCAATGCTTTTGTGCATTACATCCTCTAGAGGGAACATAAAAAGATACCAATAAAATTTTGTAGCTGAACAGTTATTAAAAAGAAGCGCTGTGGGATTCTTTTTTTCCACAAAATGAGTTCTATTTCGATATAGTTTGTTAGAACCTCAGGAAAATTCACCAAGATTTTTTAATACAAACATTTGAAGGTCTTTTCAATTATCATTATGGAAAACCCACCTAGGTAGAACACTTATTATTCAATTACATTTTTCGGGTTAATAGCACAATGGCAGTGGTATGTTTATTACCCATATTTAGAAACCAGTCCTAAAGACACATTCATAATTAAAGTAGTCAGATAAACTAATTCTCAAGTAAATATCAGAACATTTCAGAAAACGTGAAGAAAAATCAGTGTGATTATGAGGCATATCATGGAGAAAGCAAACCCTTAATTTCCTTAGCAACTTGCTATGCCATTCTTTTTCTACATTCTAAGAACCAATAATCAGCATACTCTGCATAATCATTTTCATTTCAAGTCCTGAAAACCTAGTTATTCCAGCACTTTACCAATGTCAATAAAATAGTATTTCTAGAATTCACAAACTGTAATGTAATGATATAAAATAAATGTTCAAATAACTTGTTCAAAGGTAAATAGACATTTTTTTTTCTTGCAGAGAAATTACTATTACTGAAATATATTTTGAGGGGAAAACTCTTTCAATATAAAACTAATTTTTGTTTAAACCTTTGGTTTGAAAGTCGAGTTCCCATATTATCCATGATGTAATATTAAATACATTATTAGTCTTTTTTCTATAAGCTTTTTTTATTTTTTTATTTTTTTATTTCAGCATATTTCAGGGGTACAAAGATTTAGATTATATACATTGCCTTTGCCCCACCCAGATCAGAGCTTCAAGCATGTCCATCCCCCTTTTGTTTAGCTGTATGGCTGTATCTGTAAAATGTATTTATGCTACTTATCATTCAGCTCTTGTTTAGATATTTTATAAATATTGTCTTATTTTTTAATCAGATGCATTTTCCAGGCCAGTCTAGCTTTCCTGTTGAGATCGTGAAGACATTTCTTAGGACAAAGAAAAAAGTAGGTCATGACATGGATGAAAAAAAAAAATAAGAGAGATGACAAAAATGTCCAGATTCTTAGGCTATTTGTTTTTAATTCAAAAGCATTTTAAGAACAAGTAGACAGTTAAGACAAGAAATACTTATTACAATCTACAGCAAGTAAAGCATTGTTCTTTCCCCAAATATCTGGATAGCTGAATCTCTTATTTTCATTATTACAGTTGATTTTTTTTTTTTTTACTTTCTGCTATTGTAGGTCATTCAATAGAAAATATATGTAATTATTAAATATTAAACACTCACCATCTTTCTGATATCATGCTCTGTTCATTTAATTCTGATTTAGGTTTTGGATAATTTTTCCCATTTTCTTGATGAAACAAACAAACAAACAAAAACAGCAAAGGTTCAGAGTGGTTTGTCATATTCTCCAAGGTCACACACCAAGAAGTTAAAAGATCAAGATTCTGATACAGACTTCTCCAGAATGAATTGTTCCTCTTTTCATTGTATCACTGAGCTTTAAATGAACTATCTTATTTCTGTCTTTCATTTCGTTTCATGCAAAGACTTACGGTGGAACAAGAATAACTTAAGAAACTGAAGTACAAATCAGGTAACATTGTAAAACACACACTCACAGTACACCTGAAAAATTAAATAAAGCCGGTATTTATCATCCACAATTAATCATCTACAGAATGACCAAGCTTATCAAACATAAAAATATGTTTCAAAAGACATTTGCTATAAATGTCAGAGTTGCTTCTGGGACCTTTTCCAGGAGAGTCTTGGAGGTCCAGCTGTCCGGAGCCTCTGACATGCGGAAACCACGTGGGCAACACACACAATTTCCAATGAACTCTGAATGGCAATCGCTTCATTGTACTTAAGAAAATTGTGAGCAATTTTACTTCTTTTCTCGCACAGCTCATTTTGCCCTGGCTGGCACATAGGAGAGAAGATCCTGCCATCACAGGTAAGAAAGTGCATAACGAAGGTTTTATCCTGGGACTTCTTGTGCTTGCAAATGTTGGCACAAAAGTCCCATTAGATAGGATAAAATGATCATAGCTCCAACTCTCTTGGTGGCACTCTGTCAGTAAATCTTTCATATTTCTGGGTCTAGTTTTCCCTCTGAGAGAGGAAAAATAATATGCATACCTTTCTCTGAATGCTGAGTCTAACATTACATGAATACAATATATGCAAATATGCCAACCAAATTCTTCTGAGAGATAGGGATTTAAAAAATAAATGATCAACACAAAAATGTGTTTTTATGTTTCCATTTCTCACATATTACCACTTATTAGGAAATGTTCAATAAGCAACAAACAATATAATACTCTACATTAATACAACATGTACTTACCAATGTATGAGAACATGAAGCTCGTAAGCATTTCATTTTTCCCGAATTGGCTTATATGCAAATATTTTTGGTTGTTTTTTCAGCACTTGAGAATTTTTTTAATAAAAATAACTTTACTCTCAAATCTTATTCAGAGCAATATATATATATATATATATATGAAATCATATTTAAAAAATAGGGTGGTTCAGTTCCTTTTTATATTGGATTCTTGATATTCCTAATTCATGTCTCTAACTTTATCTTGAACTTAATAAAGTCAACGGAACTTCAAATTCTGAAAATCAAAAATGTATTGAGAATATATTTCCTCCAGAAGCATCTCTTCCTGCTTCAGCTATTTCGATGACCATTATAGTTTGACCTGACTTGCTATCCCTGGAATCTCAAGTTCAACGTTAGCAAGTTAAATCAGTATCCAAATGTTCACGGTCAGCTCAATAGTGCACGATTATTCATTTACTGTCTCCTTTTTTTCTTTTCTTTTTTGTTTTGTGATTCTTCTCAACATATGAAGAAATATCTTGGGAGGAACCAGGACCCTGGTGGACTGTCCTATAATCATATACGTCTCTTTTCTGTAAATGAGCCTTATTCTTTTGTTCCTTTCATTATGCACATTGAAAAGGTCTTTATTTTGAACAGACAAAAAATTTATTCATTTGAACAAAATAACCCATTTGAAACAACTCAAGAAAAAAAATAAGATGATATATATATTTGCTAAGGTGGAAATTACAGAATATAGGAATTCAAAGTGGAATGAAAATTGAAAGTTTTAGAAACAAAGTAGAAAAGACAACTTTAATAAACTTGGTGTAAGATTTTAAGAGGCTACATAGAGGTTTTCTAAATCAATGTGACAATTGAAAAGAACATATCAAATAAATCAAGCTTAGAGAAACTATGATAATATTGTTCTGAGTTGGTACCCACATCATTTCATTAGAATAATAATCCTTTAGCAAAATTGAGTTTTCCCTCTGGTCACAAGTACAGACATTTTATTTTGAGTCACAGATGCTAAATTTGCAGTATTCTTAGGAAGTATAGTCCAATCAGCTGAATTTTTAAAACTTAAGATTTCACATTTTGTCATCCATTAAATATACCTTCTATTTATTCTAGTACTATTAAAATTCCATGTTCCTCTCCTCCACCTCCAAGATTAGATTTGTAATTAGATCTTCAGTTTTTCCTAGTCTAATAATTTCAAGAAGTGTAATTCAACCCGATCACTCAATAACAATTCCAGTACTTGGTAAATGCATCTTAATGGGAATTTTTTTACATACATCTCCATTTCTTTTACATGAAGGCAACATTAGCTATTTTAATAAACTATGAATGGCCGAAGAATTAGAATATCCATGTCAAATCATTTGATATTTAGGACATGGCAGCCATAAATTCGTACATGTAAATGAAATTCAAACTGAAGCAGAAATGCCACAGTTGAAATTATATTATGTGCTGGCAATGAGATTAAGATTAACCAATTAATAACTGAAATACCATTTTATCGTAGGATTATACATTATAACTATCACATAATAACTACAATATGTAATATTCAAATAATTAAATATTAATATCTTTGCAATATTTAGCATGAGTAAGACACTATTTTGAGAGTATAGTAAATAGGAGAATTTCCAGAAAAGACAGTCATCTCATCGCAGGTTTCTGAGTTATCTCTCCCTCCAACCAGCATTATTATGGGCATAAAACCATCCTGAAGGGCTTTTAAAAGTGCAAAAATTAATAAGTAGAGGGAAAAATGGAGCCCGCAAAAAGGATTTGTAGCAATAACAGAGAATATAACACTCAAAAGGTCAAAAATAATACTTTAAAAATGCATTTACTACATAAAACTGAAATCAATTTCATCATTTTACACAGAAGTATTTAAAAAGATGTTTCCTACATTCATGGTTTTGAAATACAGTTTTCTTAGCTTTTTTATGGTGATTTGGGCAGATTTTTAAAAAATATATACTAATTTGAAGTCCTTAAAATGAAAATGGATAACCAAAACCTACTCTATAGAATAAACGTACATTTACAGAGATTATATATCCGGTATTTTGGAGTTCTAGGATACTTATCAAAAATCTTTTATAAAAATAAGAATAATAAGTGTTCAAAATGCTCCTTAATATAACACCAATAATGAATTTTTAATGGAAACAAGAAAAGCTCTCGATTTTTATAGCAAAAATAAAATATTAAATCTTATTTCTAATACAGTTGGATATTTCTCCCACGATAAGTTGGAAAGCATTAATACAAAAAATGAAGAGGTAAACTAAATAAATATAAGAAATACACTTAAGAAAATGATTGTGAAAAAATGCAAAACTAAACTGACAGTTTTGGAAATGCATATGCTGTTAGCAGATTAGACCAATAGTGTAAAAGATGTCAATTCTATCCCAAAGTAATTTTTTTTTTTTTTTTGAGACAGAGTCTTGCTCCATTGCCCTGGCTATAGTGAGTGCCCTGGCGTCAGCCTAGCTCACAGCAACCTCAAA